CTGAGATAAAAGGGCCCCTGCTTGATTATGCACAGATACACAACATGGAATCAAAGAAAGGCTGCCTACCCATAACCAGAACCTTCAAGAGATGCAGTTGGTATGTGAATTCACATTGCAGGCATACGTTGCACTGTCATTTGAGATTGAAGAAATTCTTTTCCTTTGCAGCGTCCTCCATTGGGCAAGCAGAGAAGGAATAAGAAAATATGAAGACTATGTAACTAAGAGGAGTCAATTAACTTGTAACCTACCCACTAACCTCCTTTCCTTCCTGTTCTCCATTTACATCTAAAATCGCATTATGGGTGAAATCAAGGACTTATTCCCCTGCCCCCCAAATTACGTGGCAGAAGGTCTCAAAGCCCTTCATGCAAACTGACACTTACACTCCTCTACCAAATGCTACACCAACCATTAAGATCTCAAATATTGCACGTCGCCTGCGACAGTATGGACAGAGCTCCAAGAAGCAACACTGTAGTCATCAGAATAGAGCTATTTTCACAATGGTGACAACACAATTGCTTAAGTTCTCAGAATGTAACCTAATCAGTTCAGGAAAATTGGAACTGATTAATTGAAAGCTGCCAGAGTATCTTTAAAGAGGGCACAGCTCCGGAAACAGGATGACCTTCTTAGCTGATGCTATGATCAGCTGTTGGATCTATTATGGATCCATAAAAAAAACATCTGGAAGGTTATTCTGAAGACAAGTGTCTCAGAAAGAGAAGAAAGTTTGGGCAGGAAATCCAAGAGAGCTAACTGCTTATCGAAGATCTTGAATTCATATCAAGTAATTCATGAGTCAACATCACAATAACAAAAAATCAAAAACATACCTCCTCAGTTTATGAAGATATTTAATCTCCCAGTCCTTCAATCTAGAAGTCTTAACCTTTGCTGGTGCAGCAATTACTGCTACAAAAGGAGCCGGGTAGGTGCAGAGGAAGTCCACTGACTAATATTTTCTATGTATTCTCACGACCACGGCCAGAAACTTCCACAGCAGTCTCGAATATTCTAACAGCCTCACTAATGGGTAGAAATAGTTGAGTGTCAGCTTATATGACAATTCTACCATCATATAGATGACAGTGCAGGAACTTGCTTCAGGAGATCTCAGGAAGTCCATTCATCTTCCCAAAAAACAGGCCTAATATTGAAACAATCTGTCATGGCATTGTTTCAGGAAGGAAGTCTGGGACTGGCAACTTCTAAAACAGAATATATCTGTCCCTTAAGCTCATCATAGCTGAAGTTCCCAGGCACCAGCCTGGATAAGTTGTAGTAACAGGTGGTATAAGTTAGTTCCAAGAAGCATATAAAACAGCCAAACAGACTTTTGTTCAGACAAAAAGTTTGTTTCCTTCCACATCCAGTATGTGACAAACACTGGCACCGAGTGATTACAAAACTGCTCATGTCAAGAGGGATGACAAGAAACAAAGACGACTAGTTGAACCAGCAAGGATATGCTTTGATCAGCTGCTTGTGGCCATGATGTAAGGGTTCAAGGGCATAAGAATCAGAGGGAAGTCAATGAGAGATCCACTACGCAGGTAGTGAAGATGACATTGCCAGGGCTATCAGTGGTGGAGGAGCTGAAATACTTTTTCAGTGCTGAGCGAGATCTAAAGGCAAGTAATAGGACATGCAACCAGAGATGATTGTGTCAGCGATAAGGTGTGAACTTAGTTCACCTGGCAAGCCTCCACAGTATTTTTAAAGCAACGTTCAACCAAACACTTTAAACCAACATTCAACAGGAAACAGTGACTTTTCCAGGCAACTGGTTTTCCAAAAAAAGACTGGACACCTTTCCAGAAAGTATGCTTTAAATCAAACAATTATTTGTCACAGTGCAAAATTGTTCCACAGCTCTTGCAGGCTCAGCCATTTTATACATTTAGGCTGGCAAGTCAGCATTCAGGCAGTCTAGTTTGGAGGTGAGTGGATGGCTGTAAAACCCAGTCTTTTCTAAATCGGGAGGAAGTAAACCCCTGTTGCAAGGATACTTCCAAATCAGTACTTGGAGAGCTCACAGTGCTAAAAGCCAGAAGCACCGGCAGGTCAGGATGTACAAACCACTTCAAGTCTCCAATTCCGCTTTCCTGTCCCACTGTTCTTTTAAGGAGTCGCTGATAGTTAATTGGTTGAGTATGTTTCCACCTCTCGAGCATACCAGTGTCTGCAGGTGAGCTGGTATCTAGCTTACAAGTGTCTAAGTGTTTGCCTCGTAAGAAAGGCCTCCTATATCTCCACAACCTTCGTCTGGGGTTCAGAACCACCATTTGCTAGGTCCTATTATGAAATGCATTAACCTCCAATGCACAAAGAATCACACTGAGATTCTAAAGCAGGATCCTTTTTTTTCCTTAGTATGTACCCTTTATATAATTATGATTCTAATATTAGTCTAATTCGTAACAGTAGACGCTTAAAAACCTTCTCACTTTCTAGAAGTCTTGCTATAAAAATATGTTTTCATGTTCATTAAATTGAACCAGCCCAAAATCAGCCACTGTGACAACCCCTTGGTTTAAAAATAAAACTTGAGTCCTAGACTGATGAAAGAAATAAAATCTGAAGCTCTTTACCACCCTAGAAAAACAGGAAAGCAAGAGGTTTCCTTACAAGCCGCTGCCTGATCATTTTGCTATGGTACTCATAAACAAGTGATATTTTGTACTTTTATGAATTCTTACACCATTTTTCTTTCATGGCAAGCACTCAAAATTAATCGTACCGGAACAGTTACTCTATTAAAGGGATTTTTTTTTTTTTCTTGCAATACATTGTGTTCTATTTCAAGCCCCGTTTTCCATCTACAACTTAGTCCTAGTTGTAGCAGAATAAAATTCCAGCTTTTATGACAGAAGACTTTTTTTGATCAATAGAAGTCAGCAGCAAAAGCATTTGTGGTTTTTCTCTGGAAAGCATTTGTGGCCACAGACTCAAAGGAGGAAGAAAGGGAGGGGGATTAACTCTTCAATGAAGGTCAAAAACATAATTTAAAAGTGAACCAAGAAGGGCAGCTGTGTCTGTCAGCGCAATCAAGATTACCAGCTGGAGAATTTACCAGCAGTATGAAAACAATGCACACCAGATGTCAAATGTTGCAACTGTGAGTAGGAAAACATCTCTGGGCATGGCACTGTCATGCTAGTACTCATTACCAGACAGATTTCATATTTAGCATTTATTTATTAATTAGACAGACACTACCAGGAAGAAACAATAATATTTTGAGCCTTGCAGTGTAAGCCAGAGGCAGGTGTGCACACTGGAATGATTTAACATCGCGCATTCTAATAATTCTCCCTCTTTCACTGTGAATACAAGATAATGATTTTAAAACTAACTAGCGAATACTAGAACATCTGCAGCTGAGCTTGCTTTAGTTTCACTCAGCTCAGCCTGAGATTTTAGCTTGAGTTTAGACTCTTTTCTAATAAATCTGAAATAAATATTAAGAAAACAAGTAAAACCACACTCTATTCCATGGATAATTAACTGGAAAGAACTCTACATAAGTCATGAAAATGAGTACTTCACTAACACCTCTACCAGCACTTCCTTCACCAGCTGCTTTTTATCTTCCTCCTCCTTCTGGGGCATTCTTGTCTTTTTGTCTATACGTTTTACTCCTTGAGGATGAACTCATCCATTCCCAGTGCTACAACCAGCACGTTACACCATTCTTGCTGTTTAAAATATCTGATGTCAATTTCCTTCTTTTGCACATTCTTTTATTATCTTGCTCACATCCTCCTTTGTATTTCTCTCTCAAATGAAACACAGAAAAAAGAAAAGGAAAAAAAAAAGAGAGAGAGAGAGAAAGATTTGGGGTTTGTAGTCCTCTCCCCCTCCATTGCCAATGACTAAACTTTCTTCTTCAGCAGATACACAAGCAGGCATTTCTGGAGAGAGCCAACAAATCCAGGCCCTCAAATTCTTTCCTTTTCCAGGCTTTAATATTCATCCTTCCATCAAAATGCTGGGTGTCTTTCTTGCTCTTATCTGCTGGTATAAACTTGTTGGCTGTCATCTTCTTTAATACAGGCAAGTATTCCAGTAAACACCCCTGCCTCACCCATTATTTTAGCTGTATCGGAACGCCTTCTTATTCTACCTCTTACCCCACTTTTGTCACTTCCTTTAACTAGTTCTCATTGTTCACAGTCTTGAATATTTATGTCTGTACATGTATAAAAGTCTACAGGAATTATGATTCTGCCTCTGCTTGCAGCTTCTCCCATGTTCATTCTCATTGTCCAAACACCTCTTCTAAATGCTGTAGTTGCTACATCGCAGTATCTGCCTTTTTCTTCCTTCAATGCTATATTCCTAAGAATAGGAAGAGGTCGCTCATCTTCTTGGTTAATCCCTACTCCTTGATCTTGATGTTAAGGACTTTTCCAGTTTCCATTGCTAAACTCAATTTTAACATATTATTTCTCTCATTCAAAAAAAAAAAATTATGATTAGGCCCCAAAAAACTGAAAACATGGATGTTAATATCCAAGTTATTTATCACAGAGGCTATTCTAGGAACTAGCATGAAGTTTGTTTTATATCATCTCCCTTCTTCCTTGATGGTGCAATTGCTTTATCTGAAGGAAGACATGCCCTCAGAAAAATACCATACCACCCTAAATAGCCAGTATAACTGAATCAAGCTGGATAAAGTTATTCAAATACAATTACTGTCAGCAGAGGGAATGGACATGTGTTTGTGGCACCTTTTCCTGACATAGTACATATGTTAGTGTAGGTTTACTAACTGCTGCGTGTAGGTTTGTTAACTGCTGCAATTAAAAAAAAAAAATAATTAGAAATGCCCAATCGATAGATACATTTCCCTGCTTATGCACCCATTACTTTTTCCATTCTCTTAAAGATAGAAATTTCTGATATATTTCATTATCATTATTTCATATTCTCCTTAGCTTCTGCACTCACTTCTACTGTATTACAACCTATTCCTCATGGCTTACCTTAGCTTTGCCATCCTGTGCAGACATATATCCTACACACATGCTCTCTGTTGTATGGCTCCACAGAAATTCCACTATAAAGGAAAATGCAAGAAGTCACAAAAAATGCGTTGGTTTAAAATTTAAGATGTAATTTAACAAGACTGGAATCTTGCGAAACAAATATAGCTTAAAATATAGTTTGGGAAAGGACAAAAAACAAACTTAAAGAACAAAAACTACTTACCAGAATAATTCAATCTCAAAAGAAACAGCTAGCAAACAAACAAGGTTTTCCTGCACTATTTGCAGTCACACACTGCAGAACTAATACCCAGAATGAGAACATTACTTCAACAATATGGAGCCTCCAAGATGAGAAATACATCAGCTGCAACTACAGTTAAAAGATAGGACCAACTTTTAAAGCAGAGGCCTATTCCACCCATAAAGTAGAAGCAGACATAATTTGCATTTGCTTGCCTCGAACCCAGACATAAGCACACTACAATAGCATAAAACCAGATGGCATACAAGGATTCTGTAGAATTGTTAACACTATCAACAAAATAACCAGTAACAAGCATTTTTTTCCACAGAACAGAGCATAAATATATACATAATATGTAACTACCAATGGGTAAATGGAGATTTGTGGTTTAGCTGCACAAGTAGAATACAGGAAAACATGCAGAAGTAGTAAAGTCTGCAAGATGAGAACTGAAGATACAGAGCAGGCAGGAAAGACATCTGGTGAATAAAATAATCCTGCAGAAGAAGCAGGAGAGATGTCCGATGGAAGCAGAAAAACACTGCACAATAAGCAAGAAAGATGCCTGGCAAAATTAGAGTAAGACCTGGTCCCAAAAGTATGCTGAATTACATCAAGAGCATATGCAATCACCCCCTTTCTCTGGGGAGAGTGTAAGGAGCACCAAAGGTAAGAGAGGAAAGAAAGATGGAGTAGAAATGAGCCCATTTTGATTTTGGCTTCCCCATCAAAACACTCTCAGGTCTGATCACCTTGATTTCTAGCACTAGCTATACAGCATCAGCTCTCCGGTACTGTATACTCACAGCTAATTTAGGATATAAATGTTAAAGACTAACTGTTGTGTTTGTAGTGATAATGATTAAGAAAACTAACTGCAGCTAACGTGTATTGTTAATGCAGGTTAATCCAGTGAGGTGGTGTTCTGAAGTTTGAAAGTGGCCCGATTTATCAATCATTTAAACAGCCCATGACGGTGATCTTTAATTCCCTGATACATACACAGGTATTTTTGTATATACACACACCCCTACTCAGCTGCAACACAAAATTCAGACAAAGAGCGCATTATTCATGTGTTTAGCTCCCATCCAGTGGAGCTTTATAAATTGCCACACTATATTCTTCCTGCTCTCTGTCACAGTCATTTTCATTTGTGTTCATTAAGTATGTAATTTGGAAAGGGGAAAAAGAAAGAAAGAGTAGCTGATCGGAATTCAGGGTGTTTCATAGAATACTGTAAAAGGTTTAAAAAATTGCACTGAAGTATAAATTTTTCCTTCGGATTACAGGAGGAGTCTTACATGAATTACACAAGATGCCATGAAAAGCTATTTCCAGATATTTCTTCAGAGAGAGACTTTCACATACTGCAAAAAGCATCATTAGACGGTTTTAAAACTCATTCATTCCTATGCCTCATGTTCCTTTAATATGGTTGACGAAGGTCACAGCATGCTGAGTATGCTTATCCTTTGAACCATTTATCCTTGCATAGCAATTAACCCAGAGTAGAAGATCAAAGTTTAGACAATCCCGGCAAGACTTGAAGATTCTGACAGATATGTAGATAACATCATAAAAGAAAAATGAACTTCATTTAGGTATGCGCTTTGCTCCCCCGTAATAGATTCATGACTGATATCACCAAAGGTTAGTCAAAAGCTTTCAGAGAGTGAAACATATTCCATGCAACGTAACCGCATTCGATGAGGCCAACCCCTCCCTAACACCCTAAAGGTTCAACTGTAAGTGAAATAATTTATTTTTTGGAGACAAATTTTACTTTATCTTTTCAGTTTTGAGAAGCTGGGCAACAGTTCCTGCCAAATACCCTCAAAATATTATTTCTTTGCCTTTGATAACTCTAGGCATATTCTTTTAAGTTTTTAATAATTTTTTCCTTCTACATTGCCCACCAAAGATAGCATGTACTAGCATTAAACACGGTTATTGCTAGCTGTTACAAGTACTGGAATTACAATGAAAAACCTAAACTACATACTTATCTAAAGACATTTCACATATTTTCAACCGTTTAATAAATCACTTTCTTGCAATTTGTTTCAATAGTTTAAATAAATAAATGAATAAATAAATAAGATCACCCTTGCAATAAAGACATGAGATTTCATTATTCTATACACCAAGTTCTTCAGTATTACACAATTTATCTTCAATCCAAACAACACAAATACTACATATGTTTAATAATACATTAACTCAGCATACAACATAAGGCAGGAAATTTCTGTGGTACAGAAAAAATATCTTTAGAACAAGCTGTGCTACATGAATCTTATTTCAGTGGAAAGAAAACCAAAAATCAATGGACAAATAGTCTTTACTTATGATTTATGATATATGGGGATTTTTTAAATTATTTTTTGAGGAAAAAATACCAAATCTTCCTTAATAGGAACACGTTTTTTTACATGAATGACAAACATTAAATGAACAGAAATACTTCTCTCACTTCCAAACATAAGAAATTGAAGGTTAAGTTGATCTTGTTTGTTCTTATTTAATCAAACTTGTATTTTCATTTTCTTAACTCCCTTTTAGGGACAGAATTTATGTTGTAGGATGCTTTTCCAGTAGATCAATAATGTCACAATTATTCCATTCTTAAATCTGAAAACTGTAAATCAAACTTGCAACATTCTCTGTATGTTTAGCAACCCATGCCCTGATTCTGGCGTCAGGATTAGACAGTCTTGGCTTTCAAATAGTTGAAAGACAAGAGTAAGGTGATTGTCAAAGTCTACTTTATAGTCTACTTCTTCAAAAAGACAAGCTATTCAAGTAATAACTCCAAAAAATATAACATAAAAAAGATACTTCTAAAACCTTTTCCCATCCAAGCCTTCCAAAATTCCTTTGTTGTCCATCAGGATAATCCCAGAACCATCACCAGAATTGTAAGGATTCACCTCCCAAATCTCTGGTTCTTTGTATTTTGGACAAGATGAGATGATGACCAAAAGCATAAAAACACACATAAACGTCAACTGTTGGGTAGAGAAACATGAATGGTATGAACTGTAATGAGCAAAATTACTTATTAGAGTGAATGACTGGAGGGGGGAATCGATCAGACTCAAGCCGACCAACACAGACAAAGTAGTACGTCATATTTAAAGATTCTTGTAATGCAAACCAGCGAGGTGTAATACAAGAACAAAAGTGAAAGAGAACATACACTTCATCCCGTGCAACTGTAATACCTTGACCCTAGCATCCTGGAAGTCACTGAACAGACAGCAATAAATTCTGGAGTTTGTGTGGGTTAACCCACCATTAAGAATGTATCTGCCCGCTCACCCTTAGCATACGCTCTGCCTGCTACTCCAGGCTGGCTGTAAGCCCGCAAACTCTGGTGACACAATGTTAGGATTTAGTGGGACAAAAGCAGTAATGAATTAAAACAAAGGTGAGGTGTCTTTCTAAACAATAGCCTATAGATTAAAAAGAAATGATGCAATTCAAGAATTACCAGGTGAGATGCTATGACTTGCCTTAATACACAAAGTTAAATTAGGTGATCAAATGCGTCATATCAGATCTTAAAAGAGATGAAAGCTACTTCAAATCTGTAATGCTACTGACAGCCATTCATGAAACACTTGGGGAAACAATAATAAAGCGGAGGATTATACAAAGGAAAAACACTTTAATTCTGGTAGCATAATGTAAATATATATTAGACCCAATACATAAGCACATAGCATGACCAGACACATATGCCCACATCTGAAGAGCACCACAGAAGGAGATGGTACAACTGTCATACTGAAGTAATTCATATGCCCCCAGTCCCAAATCCCTGCCTTCGAAGAGGAACACGGGCTTTACTGTCTCTGCGTTGTATTTCCACCCACCTCTGCTAGTAGCCTACAGCATTCAGTTTTCTAGCTCTTTCTCTACGACAAACCGCATGACAGTTTACTGTAATACACTTGTTCCTTCGTAAAGCAGCAAGACAGATGAGGATCTTGTTTCTAGGACATAAGCAGGGCTGAAGGGCTGTAAAGCTCAGAGCCTTTTTAACCAGTCAGCTACTGATGGAGGCCAAGTACAGTTTTCTGCTGATCTCAATACGAACAGCAAGTACTCCTGTTGTCTGCACATGCAAATAGTAACTGCGACTTATCTGAACAGATTTTCCTGGGCATAACAAAAAATTTCTAACCATAAAACAACTTCCCTTCCAAATTTTAAGTCTATCCTCCAAATTTTCACCTTTTATCCTGCAAAAAGGAGGAACAAAGAACTTTTTAGATAGCATTTTTAGCATATAAACCACTGAGAAGCAGTAAACAGTCATATGCATTATCCCTAGCTAAAAATGCGATTCTTTCCGTGAGGAGCATACCCCGTCTCGCCACAAGCAACCATTACTCCTGTGCCATGGTTTTAGAAGGATCCCACACAACCCTCTGAATCACAATTCTGCTCAGAAACAACGAGTCAGAGAGAATGCTCTTTTCCACAGTTTTAGAGAACAAGGCTAATACTACTATTTCACTTTCTAGCATTTTATTATCTCAAACAGTTTCAATTCCTTTTTGTTTTCTCTGTGGCCTTTGAACAATGGTAAACGTGCACAGACAGTTTTTATTTCACCTTTCACTTTGAGTTAGCACCTAGCTCAAGTAAAAATGAATAAGAATTTCTTACCTAGTAAAGTTGGCTTTTCCTGTGATGATTCAGGCTCTGCTGAACACCTGCAAGACCGAAGAACTATCACACCTCCAAGCACACCGTCTTCATTGGCTAGAAAAGGTGAACCTGGGCAAAATCATTGGGGAGAATTATTTGCAGTAAGAATAGTTTCTTGGGTATTTTTTTAATTTCACTTTCCTGCCTTCTCCCTTTAATCTTGTCACTAAGTGTTGAAAAGACTGTCAGGTCAACCAGTGCTTTTACAAAAGCATCAGTTTTGGTTTTTTCAAGTGTTTCTAATGAGTAACTTTCTAAATAGTAATCTACTAATCTACCAGTAATCAAACAAGGAAAAAGAGCTACATGGAAATAAAAAAAAAAGGGGGAAATGACATTTGTGAGTGCAAAACCGTTTGTTCTTGGATCGAGGAAGGTATAATAATGAGAAATGGAATGTCAAGTTGAAAAAAAAATCACATCTCAATATTTAGTTCTTTCTGTATTACTGTACTATAATTAATATAAAGACGGCCACATATGAAAAAAATCAAGCAAATTTGGGTCACTTTTACAGTTTATTCATTTTTCCCAATTTAAAGCACTTCAGAGATATCATCAAACTGCTATAGACTGTCCTTGCTGCTTTATGAATATTAGCAGAAAAGCCAAAACACATCCTACTTTTTAAAGTGGCTTTTCTGTTGTTAATTTAAGACATATGATATAAAACATCTTCTGTCAGAAGCTGGAAAAGTTTTAAAGTTAGCTGAATCACAGAATCATAGAATAGTTTGGCTTGGAAGGGAATCAAGTCTAAGTATTCTTTTTCTGGTTTGTAATTTGAAATGAGATTCCTATAGTTTTTAAATGTGGAAACAATGGTATGATTTACCTATAAATTAAAATGTCTTAAGCCACAAAATTAACCAAGTTCTTGCACTTAAGCCCAAATAGACCCTACTCACACATTTGCAATACGCTGTGACTTAAAGTTGAACATACAATTGCAACAGGCATTTCATATATTTCTTTTCAATTATTTTCTTTTAAATAAATTAGTATACTATGTCTAGTGTACAGACACTGTAAAAGGATTTGCTGGCCACAAGAACTTTAGAGCAGATCTACTCATCAGCCTCCTTCAATTTGCCCACAGGTATTTGTGTGATTAAAGTTACCCCTTTAATGCAAACAACAACAACAAAAACCCCAATAAGAACCAACTTCAAGCTTTACTGTAAGGAAAACTAAAAGCTTTACCATGTTCTCTCTAGACATAAGAGCAGCCATGTTCAGAAGTGATACAAGGTGGTCATAACAACAGAAGCCCGTATCACAGAAAGATAACGAATGTAGCATGCTTAATAAACAGTAATATTTTATCTGACCTAATACAAACAGATATTATCTTCAAAGTGCCATTTGCTTTGCACAAGAACTATTACTAGGTGCCAATTACACCTACTGTATCACTCATCGACTGCAACCAAATCCCTGCAAACCAAGGATCCAGCCAATCATAACATAATAGGTAACAAAACAGCAAAATACATTTGGTTAAAATAGAAATGCAAGGTTTCCGAAGTTGTAAAGAGTTTTACCACCCAGATCAAAATCTTTTACTCCGTGCTTTCCAAGATGTTAAGTTTATCTCTTACACTTTCACTGCATTAACCAAATGCTTGCCAAGTATCTGGTACGATTTCTCTGCAAGCAAATGAACAAAAAAAGTGGTTTTCTTCATAGGGGACATGCATCCTTTAATCCTTACTTCAGAAACTCAGGTACTTCAAAGACAATGTCTTAACTTGAACTTGGTCTGCAGACCTAATCTTATACTCAATTGCATAAATTATTCAGGCCATAAGCCATGCTGTGGTGAAAAGTCATTGCAAACAGACAGAAAAAGTTGTGGGTTTTTTTTTTTGTTTTGGGGGGTTTGTTTTGGGTGTTTTTTTTTTAAATAAGCAGTGTTTCTCTTCCTCTTTCAAGGCCTGTGAAAGGTTCTTTCAAGGTTCTAGTGAAAAATACTAATAATCCCTTTAATTAGAATGGTTAAAAATGTTCTACTTCAGCAGAACACAGCCAGCAAACTATTTAAAGCAGATAGTGTATTTAAGGCCATACTAAAACACTAAGACTGTATAAATGCACATAAAAACAGACAGCAACGACTGATTACAGACGATGCCACTAACGTCTGGTTCTAGAAATGCTTACATTGGCTTAATAGCTTACTTTTTTTTTTTCTTCCTTCCACACTCGGGAAAGAATAGATGAAAGAAAAGTCTGTAAATAAACAAATCACAAATTTCTTCATTTCCCCAGTATTTTTGTCAACTATGCACCATCATCAATGATCAAATTTTCAATAATCTGAATAACTTGCACATGCTAGGCTCTCTCTTTTTAAACTTTAAGAGAAGACTCGGCAGTATATTTCTTTCCATGTAAGGAGTCTGCAGCAAAACATGTAATGCTACGTTTTCATCAGGATCCTTTCATTTTTACAGAGATTTCTTTGCAGGAACAAAACACTCATCTTCTTCAGTGGAGTACAGAATGAGAAAAGTAATCAAAGTATGTGTTTTGTGAGACTTTTTTTAAAAAGGGGTTTAAAAAAATTATTTAAAACTTGAGCTTCAAGCACATGACAAACTCTTAAGCTTGCAATTTCATCCAAAAAGATGCTCTACCTATACATGTACAACTACGCTCATGAGAATCCCAGTTCTGCCAGCATAAATAGCAATTATTTATTTATTTACTTAAAACACGCTGTCCATCATATTGCCCTAAATACGTACACAATTTTTTTCTGAACTAAGTTACTTCCTTCAATGCAGGTTTTAACCTTCTACACCATTTTACCATCAGCTGCAGACTGAACATTATTCTGGAAAGGAGAGAAAAAGTCTGAAACAAGAACATATCCCTTCTTCTCACCTCCAGACACAAACAGCAAATGTTTGTGTCATAGTCACTTGCAAAACACCTGCAATGGTTGGTGATCTTCTCACCCACACCACTTCCACGGGCCATCTGTTTCCCCATTTCTGCTGGAGGTTGCCATCCACAGAACCATCCGAAGCAAATTGTGTGACTACTCCCCTCATCCATTCCAATTGCTTTCACCAGCAATTTCAGCCAAACCATCTCAATGCAAAAATCAGCAACAATATGGAATGTGTCTCTAACTCACTACACTGGCTAAGTTGTGGGGAATCAACCTTTAAATAGTGGCAGTAAAAAACAGTTGCCTACAGTAATAACATTACAGGGTTCTACACTACAGTAAATTCAGAGAGACTGTTTCTCCTCCTTTAAAAATCAGACTCTAAGCCAAATTAAATACACACTGAACAGCATATTCTTTAAAAACAAAGAATGTATTTTATATTCCAATTAAAGCAATTTAAAAAAAAAGTTAAAAGAGGGATTCGAATATATTAATATTTTTTAAACAAAGATATTTCTGGATATGCAGACTTATTACTGAGGATTACAATTATGCTGAAGAGTGTATTTTGACACAGCAATACAGTGCAAATGAGGTCTATGTTAAGCAAGATTCTAGACAGCTAAACGCTATGCATCCATTATTAAATCTGTAAAAATAATGGTACAAAAGTAGTATTATACTTTATTTCTAAACAGAATCCATGTACCCTACACAGGAATTAATTTGAGTGTTCTCAAAACAGAATGAATTCAAAGGTTAGGAACATACTTCATTAATTTAGTTCTAAAAATCATTTTGTTACAGCCAAGCCATTGAGAAAAAGAAATAATAGTGCAGACTTCTGTAAAAAATAACAATATAGGTAATGGCATTTTTTCATATACATTATATTTAATTAGTATTTAAACAGGAAGAGAAAAGATGCAACTGAAATATGGCCATGTATATTAAAGTCATAATGGTTTCTCATTAGAAGGAAAAAGTAATCTGTCTCCCAAAGAACGATAGATCTTGCTGTACAATTAAAAATTCACTAAAAATAAAACAAAATATGCATACTAGCCAAAAATAATTTTTTTACTGCAATAAAATGGAATTGCTACACAAATCTTTGATCCAATAGCTTGCTAATGACAAAACTACAAAAACCTGGGGCTTTTAACACCATTTTAAGTCTCATGAAACTCATCGTTCCTTCCTAGTTACGCTGGCATAACACTGAAGAATTTGGCATGAAAATCCACCTCATGAAACTCATCATTCCTTCCCAGTTACGCTAGCGTAACACTGAAGAATTTGGCATGAAAATCCAAAGCATAAAGCATTAGCTAATAATGTTAGCACTGACTGGCCACACCAGAGAGAAGGGGTAGGAAAAAACAAACAAAAACCATCTTTCAATAGTTTTGGTTTAATCCTCACCTCCCTCAGTCACAAAATTGTATTTTACAATACACATTTCCCCTCCTTCAAAGCTCAATTATTGTTATATGACATATAGAAAGCTTTATCAAGTTTTTATTAATGTATTTTGTACATTATTAATCTGTAGTAATGGTCTCTTAAAAATAAGCGATATCTTCATAGCAGCTCCACATTCACTGACCTCATCGAGTTCTGCAAGAGCAACCACAACTGAACACCAAGACCCGGGTTCAGCCTCAGACCAGGGATAGAGCATACAGATTTCACAAGCGTTAAGGCAAATAATGGCCTCAACATTCAGCCTTGCTCTGGAGGAACTACAGCTACAAGTGAAAAACATTTTTTCTTCCATGTCTCTTGTAAATTAAACTGCTCCCATGATACAGATTGCTTCCTCCAGAGCATGCAATCGATAAGAGTTGTTCATTTCTGATCCTGTGCTTCTTTCCCATTTGTAGCTACTGGACAGATCCATTCTAGCACAGATTCAATACTAAACTGTAAAAGAAGTGTTTTATTTACACTTACCCAGCTGAAGGACTAACCAGCTGCTCATCAGATGTTTTACATTCATACTCTTCCATAGTAGAGAAACCATTACCAGCTTCATTGTTTACATTAGCTTTCAAAGTCTTCAGAACTTTGGTCTAAACACTGACTGTGGCATGGCATAACCAATTAAGTGCTTTAGCATCCCCCAGTTTTAACGGAGTGCAGCGAAACAGTTCTAAACCTTCTCATGCTGTAATGCGAGTGAAATTCAGACTTTGTCAGGTCAATAATCCGTTGCTCACCTATGCCATTGGACTTCGTCAGCTTGTGTACAGAACGTGTTTAAATGGAAGCCGTTTGCCACTGCTTCTGCTATGCATCCTACTAAACTTCAAGCTAACAATTTAAATAAACACTAGAGGAATATATAAGCACTAACTGAAGCCTGCTTTTAATTTCATGCACCATTATTTGTTAAATGTTTAAGCGCAAGCTATCTGAAGCCAGAGATCTTTATAAGTAATTTAAAACATCTGTTTAGAATTTTTAAAGAAGCTGCAAGGAAAAGCACCTATACTTTCAAACTTTACAGGTCAGATTTTAAGAACTTAAATGACTGAGGATACCGCTGTCCAATAAAATCCCAATGCTTTTGATAAGGAGAAGCACAGTCAGGACCTAGACAAACCCTCGTGTAAAATCACCATGTTGTGTTAGTTTTTCAGCTGGTTTTATTGTACAGGTAACGAATAGGCCTATTCAATTTTGTCTACCATCAAATACAAACGTGTGAAATCATAAACTTGCAGTGGACAAAATAGGTTATATGAAACTTCAGGATCACTTCATTGTCTTCTCAAATCTTTTCCTCTGTGTCATGGAGAAGACATCATAATGCTTCCATAGCATGCTTCCTCCGCTATAAAACCACAAAGGATACCACACAGCTTAGAGCGATGCAGCTCCAAAATATAAAGTAACAATAACACTGTGCAATGATGGTCACTGGCAGTCTTGTAACTGTTTAAATATGAGGCTTTTTTCCCCCGCAACAAGCACTCATAATTGGGAAAGTCATATTCTGTGATTCCGAACTGTCCAAACTCCTGCTCCCAAGAGAGGTATTGGACACAAAATTTCTAAAAAAGAAAGTGTCAGCGTTATCCTTCTGCTGTTACCTTTCTGCAGACATTGCTCATTTGTGAACTGAAGCACAACTTCAAAATACAAGAATAGACAAACATTTGTCTATATTCTATATAGACAAATATTTCCGCTAGGGAAAGAACAAATATCAGATTCCAACTATGTCTTTCAGCTCATTATTTTCTAATACTTCATAAGAAGCTTTAAAGTACAATTCTTAACATTGCCATTGTTAAAAGCCCAGACTTCCCGCCAGTGAGATGACACAAACATTTACTCTAAGTCTACGTTCCACAAACTTGGCCACATTTTAAAGGAATGATGAGTAACAAAATCCTCTGTTCTTCTGTTTGGAAGGTATTTGTGTTTACAGAACACCATTCTTCAACAGCGTACCAAGCCTTTAGCGCTCTTCGACTAAAGATATCAAGCCCATTTGATTTAGGAAAAAATCTAAATTTAATTTCTCTCACCTCCAATTCAATCATCAATTGTGCATTATCCATAGTAAGCTGGCTCTGAGAAAGGATGAGAGAAGCACATCTGCCATTAGTTTGCTCATCACCTGCTGTTTAAACAGCACTCACTGTTTAAGCCAGGCATTCCCTAGCTGGAAGGATTCCCAGGGCTCTGCGGAGACTTGGAGAGTTCTGTAAACAGGAAGCACCAATCTGATGGCAACTGCCAAAATCAGCTGTTCATCCCTCCAATACAAGTAACAGACATTTTTACTTCTGACAAAACATTCTAGCTCTGCTTTGTTAAACCTTTTTTTTTTTTTCTTTTTTTTTGGCCTTGGTCCATTATAATTCTGGCAAAAGTTTGACATGACCACAAAACAGGGTTTTTAGAAAGAGTAGCAAGGAAAGAACCCATGCCGTCAGCAAGCAAGCTATTAGCCCGTTTCATCCTATTGTTTCACACCGGTAAGAAATCCTGCATCATACCGTACATCCTGAGCTATCAACTAGCACATCAACATCTATGAAAACTCAGAGGAAAAAAACTATTTAGCATAAACCTAATGTTTTAGGTGTAATGCATTTTTTCACTGTATTGCACTATATTAGCAAGACGTAAGTCTGCATTCCATCTTCAGAATTAACAAGATCCCCCAAAATTACACTGCTGGTTACAAACTTAGTACTATGTCACATGTAAACAGCAAGACGTATCTGGATTTTCAGGTTTTCCTCAATCAGTCTTCATTCATAGGACCGCTGAGGGCAAACTAGATTTTATGTCTTCTAATCAAGACACAGAATCCAAGCACTTCACCTACACAAAAAAGGTGGCTGTATCTTTTTTTTTTTCTTTCTTTCTTTTTTTTTCCTCTCTCCATTTCAACACTGCCCCAAAGTACCACTGAGAAGGTAATACACATCCCTACTGTCAGATAACAAAAGCCTGCAGTGATAAGTTTCTGAAAATACAAACATGACCCATCACTAATCAAAACATGAAATTTTAAAAAGTAATTATAAAACACTTAAATTTTTATATCATGGAAAGCATTAATTTGATACTGTCTCTCATTCTTTTCACTATCCCCCGTTTTGTTGGTTTTAGTCTGATTTCCCAATTACGTTATCAAGTGCAGCCTTCCAGTGCGAAGGTGACTTCCCCTCAAATGTAATGTTGTCAGAAGCAGAGTTTAATATGGATTCAACATTATAAACAGAAATAAAGAAATTGCAACACATTTCTTGCGAAGACCAAGGACAATGGTTCCTGGGTCCCAAAAAGGTATGCATATGTCCCTCTTTCAGTTCTAATTAAAATACTATAAAAATGAACTTTGGCAACACAGTGTACAGGAAGTGTTATTGTCTTGTCCACAAGAAATTGTGGAGGTCAAAATTGTTTGTGGATAATAAAACTTCAAAAAATTTTAGGGCTATAAAAACAATGCATATCAACATATATGCCAGAAGCCTCACTGGAATCTATGCTACCTTCAAAAGTTCAAACATATAGATATTTTAAATTTCCATATTCAATATTTTGGTTATGACTTGAAGAAAGAAAACAAGATCTATATATTCACAAAAAAATAAACAGGCATAAGTAGTCACGTGTAATCCTCTCAAATCAAGGCAAAAAATTGTTTTTACCTTACAATGGCCTTCAATAAAGTCTACTTCACTTTCTCAAGAAATTAATTTCATCATGTAAATAGCAAACCAGAATCTGTCTGTCCAAAGCATTTAATTAGAACATGCAGTGGTTTTGAGGTCTATTATATTTAAAAGGGTTAACATAAATAATTTCTATTAATGGTCCTAACCCACCAACTCTAAAATATGCAATTGTACACCACAGCCAGTCATTCAGGCAGGAAATTCTTTCTTCAAATCTCTCCGGGTATTCTATGACTCACATAACAATTGAGATACTTCCAAGGGTTTTCCTTTACATTTCCTAAAATATTCTTCTGTATTTTGATTTAACATTCTTTAGATGTAACACAACACCAAATTTGAGGCCAAGTGCAACATAAGGGTTCAACAGAAATCACAAAAATAAGTATCTTAATTTTATTTAATAAGGTTAATTGCATTTTAAACAATGTTATGCAATGTTCAGGCAATTAGCACCATACTTACCAATAAACTTGTTTTGCATAGTCTCTAGGAGAGCTTGGTGGGCATCTTCTGTTTGTAAAGCACATGAACATTCTCTGGCCAGTATGGTTCGGACAAGGTGCTCTCCACAACCTAAAGAAATATTAAGATTGGGAATAGTCAAAATATAGATATCACTATGAAGAAACTCTGTCATTATTTTACACCATCACAGCCAAAAAAAAAAAAAAGAGATGCATATGATAGGTGTCTGCGATTTTTTTTTTTTTTTTTTTTTTTAAAGAGAGTGACACCGAGTCACACGAAAATTCAACGATGGCAGCAGTTTTTCCTCACGACTTTCCTGAAATTTCTACTGCATGAAGTCATAAACCAAAAAGGGTTAAGTACAGAAAGCAGAAACAGAAACAGTGAGAAGAAACAGCGAGACTGTCTCTGACTTGTCATCTTTATCCAGATCCTGCAATTCTCTCTCAAAGAATCTACTTACTAATCATTCACGCAGGAATGATCCTTGGATACAACTCTCTTCAAACCAAGAACATCTTTAGTGAATGCCACAGTAACTCCTTTGCATGATGTAATCTTCTATTTAGTCCATCTGATTTAGCCTTTTGTCAACAAAGGAATACGTGAATTTACCTATGCTTTTTTGACAGGGTGGCTGCTCGTTGGACTCCTAATAAAAATTCCTGTAATTTTTAAAGGTTTGTCTTTAAGAAACTAAAAAGCTCCAGCAAACCACCACGTATTGCTTCAGTGCTCTCTGTACCTATCCCCTGAAACCTGTTGATGACGAAGACAAACAGGTCATTAGTGCTACTCTTACTCCGTAGGATCGCTTTCACACCTGCTGTTTCTCTCCCACGCTTTTTGGCATTCCTGTAGTGTGCTTTGGGACATACAGCTGTGGTCAACTGGTACAGTGCACGTTTACTGGATCAAAGTTTTTTTGGACAGGAAAACACACTGGCGATATCTTCTGCATATATACAAAAGTCATTACGCTACTATGCCTCCCATTTGTTGACATTTTTCCTCAATGGCAAGGAAGCAGATGAACCAGCTAGAAGAGGTCTAACCAAGCACAAGTTAAGCCGAAATGTGTTATCCAGTTAGGAAAAAAGGAAAAAACACAACCAACTAATTTAACAGCTGTAATATGACAATGATTTTAAATATCTAAATTTAGGTGATTACAGTTTGATCAGGCTTGTAACTTCAGGGTATATCAGGGCCTAAAACTGCATTAGACACCAGAATATAGAGAAGTCAAATATAGTCAATTCCCAATTATCTATACATATTTCTAGCAAATTCCTCATTAACCATGACAAGATGCAAGCACCGTGCTGGCTCCATAAAAAAATCTGCTATAATCCAGTTGGACTTCTTAGCTCAGGTGCAGAACTACATAAATACAACTACGCAGCTTCCAGCGACAGCTTATGGCTGGAAACAATCTAGCTGCTTTCACATGGCAGAGAGCCAGAGCTCAGACCTAAGCTGGCTTCAGACAACAGCAGCTCAGTCTCCATGGATAACATTCACTTTACTGAAAGCACTAACAAGCCCAGAACAGAGAAAACTGAGCGACTCTGGCTGAAGCCAGCCTAGATCTGGCACAAAGAAAGAACTAATAAATAAACCCAACCCAAACTGGCTCCAGTGCAGCCCGCTGAGTGTCTCATCGCTGTGCTTCCCAATATGCTGAGTTTAGAGCTCTGACTGGTTTGGGCGCAACACTGCACGAACATGCATCGCAGGTCTAGCGCTATGTCTTGGAGCTACTCACAGACTGGCTTCTTGTTCTTGCCATCACTTTTAAGCCCTAATTAACATGGCAACCTACTCCAAGAATCTCTCTTTCTGGTTACTTGTCACAGAATTACACACTTCCCCTTAAAGGCAAAGTGAGTTTAAAAACGCTGTTCTTCAATGACTGCTAACGCAGCAGAAAAAAAAAAAAGACCCCTCATCCCCCATTTCCAAGATTGAAAAACCAACAAAAAACCCCTATGAAGCATTATATATGCATTAGATGTCAGAGAACAAGCCCAGGGACCAGACTGCAGAAAAAAATTGTGTACACGTGTCCTAAAATCTTGGATTTTCAATCACCAAAATTACACCTTAGTCTTCAGTTATGCACTCCTTCTAATGGGCAGTGTCTCCTGATTAATACAATTCGGTTAAACCGAATTGTTTGAAGTGGGGTACGTTGGCATTGAATCTACATATAATTGGCACAACAGAAAGACAAGAAATTCTTTGTATAGCAAACAGATTGAGTAAAAAACAGTTACAAATTTAGAGGAAAATGAAAGAGCTGAAATACTATGACAATTACACAGCAAAGGGAGGCAGTTGTTGAGAGCACAAGAAAAAAGTGTTTTCATTGAGACTGTCAAGCTCTCGAGTTATTGAGAAAAGTGTCCTGGTTAGGATATTATCTTCAAGAGGCTCATACAATACAGTGTCCTCAACAGCTGCTTACAGGAGGATCTGTCCGTTCATTGCCTCATTACTTCCATGCTCGAAAGCTTTTGTCCACAATAGAATTGACAGTTATCTAATATTTATTCAAGATAAAGTAACGTATAAAGAATATGCAAAAACTACAAGATGCATTTTACCCAGAGATCACAACATGGCTATCACTTCTTTTTAAACTAAGAAAATTTCATCTTTAAGAAGTCTTGCTGTAAAGAATAAAACTAAATAAGCATATGCTCCAGCACAAGCTTAGCAAGTTGATTTTTTCTTGAAAAGAACCTGTTAAAACCTTTAAATATAACATTTATACCCTATGTGAGGTAAGAAGCACGGAACTTAGCATGTGAATCAAGCAAATGAGACACAAAAATCAGGGTGAGCTTATGCATCTCCTACGCATCTAGTAATAAAACCAGATGTTACTACTTCACAATTTTTAAGTAATTCCTAAATTGGCATCAAAAAGACAACAAACATTTTTAGCACGATGTATAACGTTATTTTCCCCTAAAAGAATGATTTTATTGAAGAGTTCCCATAACATCAAGGCTGCTACAAAAAAAAAAAATTAAGAGAAAGAAAACTTAATATGTGTTAAGAACAGCTGCAGCCCACTGATGTGATCCATGATCAACCACAAGGAAAGCAGCCTTGCAATTCTACTAACACATCACACATCTCTACATCCCCACAGTCATTTCTTTTTGTCCTATTTATGTCAACCTATAGGGCAGCAAACTTACAGACTGCTGCTGGCAGTGTACGTAAAAATCTTTCAACACATCACATGCCAGCAATCTGCAGGGACAGATAACGAAGGAAAATAATCCCCCCATTTTGAAAAGAAAAAATTGTTACTGCAGTTTTTTATGGAGGAACATCTATTTTTAAACAAGAAAAATAACTAAGCAGTGTTTCACATAGTTTGACCAGATACAAGGCTGAGAAAAAGAATTACCCTAATTATTCCAATAGAATTGCCCTTCCTATTACCTCCGGTTAGAACCAAATACTAGAGTGTGAACTGTCTTGCAGGTTTAGCAGACCTATATGTCTCTATAGTCTCAAACTGGGAAAACACTGTAGATAATACTAGGGCTAGACACAAAATAAATGTATACAGAATTACAGTAATCGAAACCTAATTTATAACTTAGAATATAAAGTTGTGGGTTCAAATTTATAGTTCCATTCACTTGTAATCTAACCACCAGCATTAGCCAACTTCCGAAAAAGTTCTATTAACATGACTCAAGACAGCAACTACAGTCAAAACTACTTTAACGCATTTCCAAATCATGCACAGAAGCTGATGAAAATGTAAATCTGGCTCATTTGCTTAACTATCTCACATTATACTATGTTTAACTGTATGTGTTGCTACATCGTGGTTTGTCACTGAAAAAATACTGAAACCAAACCAACAGGGACTCCTAACAAGAATTTTTCAATTCTACATTAAAGTCTCAAATGTACTTGTTCTAGTACCTTTCCTGTAAACAGAGTTTAAATCATTTTATTATCCTTTCCCAGTAAAGATGATGACTTCTTTGGTAACCTGAAGCTCATTATATCTCAGAGACAAACACTTTGCAACGACAGACCAAAGCTTCCATAAGCCTTCACACAAGAGTGACTCAAATGGAGATGACTATCTGGAAAAATTTACTAGGTTAAATTAGTGCTTCTCACTGAAATAACTGTTTCATATAGTAAACAAACTATTTTCCTAACACAGCAATATTGTGCAAACACCATGTTGCCTACTCATAACCCCTCTGTTGACAAAAATACTACTGTTGGAACTACCGTTGTCTATGTTTGCAGAGGTAAGTACAATTAGTTGCCCTCCTCTAGGGATCACTACTGGCAAAGTGAGCAATGGTTCTACAGGAAATGTATAGTCTATTTTGATAAATAAATACATACATACATGCAAAGACAGATATTTTGATGTAAGTTTCTAGCCGCCTAGGTTAAGGGGAAAGAATTTTAAAAACCCAGATTCCTAAAGGCTCCAGAGGTACATGGCAGCAACAGGCTCCTATGACAAGGGAAGCAAAGAAGGGTAAGGCTCGACAGTCGTAACACATTTATTTTGCACTCAAATCAACACACTTGTCAAGAACCAGAATCTCAAAAAAAAAAAAAAAACAAAAAAAAACCCCCAAACACACATCACCACCAGTTAGATTAAGAAAAAAGTTTACAAGATGGTGAAAGTCAGATCCTGTAAAGAACAGACTGCCCTTTTCCACCACCAACTACAGAACGTAATGTGACAGATAACCCTCTTCAACCAAAGCTTCTAACCCTGCCTGAAAACGACTTGGAGATCCTACAGAAAACCCCCATACAGAAAGCATCAGAACTGATTTTCAGAGACACATATCTTCTTGGGTCTTGGGT